CTTCAAGGTGTCCTTGAGAGGTACATGTGCGAGATGACTGATTTCGAGTGACTCGAAAGAACGACTACGCCTCCGCGATACATGCCAGTTGACCGCATAACTACATGGACAGTGTCTTGGCGACCGGTTTTTTGACCTGCCAGGGCCTACATTCGTTTGGCCGAACAGGTACGACATGTGGGCTCTCGATTGTGCCGACTCGAGTGGCTGTTCGCAGTCCCACCGTCAGGCCGACTGTCGGGCCTGAGGGTAAATGCCCGTTGCTATGGCCTCAGTGATAAGGGGTTGTCAATACTTGGGCCATCGGTCTGCCTAAATCACAGTTTTTGTTGCATAATTGTGCGTTCGGTGTGAGGTCTGAGTGTGTCTATGGGTGTCATTTTGGTCTATCTCATTTTGACGTCAACGATTATGCCAAGCTGTCTGGAATGCCAGACTTTTGCTATTCATCGTGTCGTCTTCTCCGGTAGCTATTTTGAGGGTCAAAGCAAAACTGGTTTTGGCGTTGAAGCCAGTTGTGACGCTGCCAGTTGCACAAATACTGCGACTGGAGGTGTAATGGCCTAAACACATGATCGTGGAAAAATGTAGGATTAGGATAAAACTGGGACTCGTTGTTTCATTTCAATGAAAAAGTTAATGACAAGCAATTCCTGAATGAGGCGGTGGAGTGTAGAATGGTGAATCACGCAGAGCAATCGTCGCCACATCGCCGTGAAACGGATGGATTTGTACTGAACTTTTATCTGTCCCACCATGGCAGACTTAATCAGAGCGAGAAAATGGAGTTTACAACAAATCGTACCAATATACTGGACGGAAGGAAGATGGGTGAAGTTGATGCATAACATGAAGTGAATGTGGTCTTTGTGGTTTCCTCATATACATCATACAATGTACGAGCCTCTAATGTTGACGTGTGCTAAGGCTAGCATCATTTTGTATTGTATGTATGTAAGGTTAAGGTCATGCAACATGTGAAGGCCCCACCGGACTCGATGCTATTCAATCCTAATTCCCTTGCTTAGCAGTTCTTCTTACTCTTGTTGTCACACTCGCTCTCCTTCCCACAACGTAAGCTTTCCCAATAGCCACTATTTGACGCTTTCTGCCACATGACAGAGAAAAGCCAGGACATATTTGCCCATTTCAACAGCAATTATCCTTCGCCATATGATGGCACCAATTGACAAATTCTTTCCAACTAACATTTCTCTTTATCTTCAAGGGATTCGTCGAGAACCTACTTTGCACCACATACTATTTACAATATCTGCTATTGAATGACGACTAGCATGTATTGCAATGCACACAGGAATATAAATGTACATTCAAGCTATACTACTGTTATACTACTTGAATGTATATTTTCTGTTACTAGGCTAAAATATACTGTTCAAACATTCCTTATGTGGATAAATTATTATTTCCCTTTTCATAGCCTAATCAAAGGGTTACGGACGTTCTTGAAGCTTACTAACGCCAAATGGCACCACTGAGGGATTAATAAAAAAACTAGCCTTGTCCTATATGATAATTAGACTATTTGATATTTAGTGACACCTTACATATATCCCTACATACCAAATGCAAGTTATACTACTGTTTATACTACTTATATATATATATATATATATACAGCGAGTCGATTGTCTGCTGCTTCTCCTCAGACCTGAAAAAGAGACACAACATAAGGCATTACATGACTGTCTTTTGGGCGTAGTCAAGGCTGGTGTTGGCGAAGGAGAGAGATTCGGTGTGACTCGGCAGCGGGCAAGTGAGTCCGAGTCCCAGGCCGGACCGACGTGAGGAATCCGCGAAGCCTCTTGTCTGATTTGGACTCTTCAATGAGTCAACATGTGGAAATGGACAGCTTCTTCTAGCCTTTTTACAAACCCTCACCCAAGAGTTACGTACATTCCCGCCTGTGGTCGTGATTGGCCGGACCTGGCGCAGAGTCCGGCCAACGTGTACTTGATTGGGCCTCGTGTTGTGGCGTCGGTGGGCCAGCGGAAGCCAAATGCTGGCTCGCTGAAGAATCCAAATCGGACAAGAGGCTTCGCGCACTCCCGAGGTACCAGGGCACCGAGAAGTGCCAGACTCTTCACGTCGGGCCTGCCTGGGACTCGGACTCACTTGCCCGCTACCGAGCCACACCAAATCCCTCCTCTCCGCCCAAAAGACAGTCATGTAATGCCTCATGTTGTGTCATGTTGTGTCGCTTCTATCATGTCCGATGTTAAGCAACCGACGACCGACTCACTCTCTTTCTCTCTGTGTCTGTATGTGTGTCTGTTTCCATCCCTGTCTCTCTTTCTCTCTCTCTCTCTCTCTCTCTCTCTCTCTCTCTCTCTCGCGAAAGGAGAGAGGATGACTGGGGCCACCGTTGTCAACATTTCGATAAAGTGTTCGCCGGCGCGTGCCACAGGCCAACGGACAGGCAGATGCGCTGGCAGCGGCGTGCGGTCATGTGTCGAGTGAACATCGCCCGATGACATGCAGACACGAAAGAGGCCGCAGCAACACCATTGTCGCGAACATTCATTTCGCTGCCTCGCAGAGTCAGAACATCTTCCGGGGGGAGTGGGGGGGAGGCGGGGGAAAGACGAGAGTTGGTGGCCGTCGCCTTGACCTCGCTTCATATTCCAGTCCTAAACTGACTTTTAATCGGACAATCTGGTGCTTAAACTTCCACAATCGTCTGGGCAACTAGGCCCAGACCCGTCGAGGAATGATGAAAGACCGAAGGTCC